ATATCATGGCCATGATCAGGTGCACACCGCTAATGGAGCAGGTATGCGCATCTCTCATGTTGGTCAGGCATCACTTCTTGCACACAATTCACGAAAACTGCATCTTTCTAATGTTCTTCGTATTCCCACTGCTTCACGTAGTTTGTTATCTGTTTCACAACTTACTCGTGATAATAATGTCCTTGCTGAGTTTCATCCTTTTCGTTTCTTTATCAAGAATCGGGACACGAGGGCCGTTCTGCTTAGCGGTCGTCTTCGCAGTGGCCTGTACGCACTTGACGCGCCCACCGCACCTCCTATGCAGCTTTCTCCCCAGGGGCTCAGTGGTGTTCGTGTGTCTCCTACACATTGGCATGCGCGCCTTGGTCATCCTGCTGCTCCTATAGCTCGTCATGTGTTACATCGCCATGAGCTACCAGTTGTGTCAAATAAAACTGTTGAAACTATTTGTGATGCCTGTCAGCAGGGCAAGAGTCACCAACTTCCGTTTTCAGAGTCTAGTCGTGTTGTGAAACATCCTCTTGAGCTTGTTTTTTTTTCCGATGTTTGGGGTCATGCCCAAACGTCTGTTAGTGGACACAATTATTATGTCAGTTTCATTGATGCTTACAGTCGGTTTACTTGGCTTTATCTTATTAAAAAAAGTCTGATGTGTTTGATGTTTTTCTACAGTTTCAAGCACACGTTGAGCGTCTCCTTAGTCAGAAAATTATTCATGTTCAAACCGACTGGGGGGGGGGTGAATATCATAATCTCAACTTGTTTTTTAACAAACTTGGGATCACACATCGTGTGTCTTGTCCTCATACACATCAGCAGAATGGGACTGCTGAACGTAAGCATCGTCATCTTGTAGAAACTGGCATTACTTTATTAGCTCATGCCTCCGTTCCCTTTAGGTTCTGGAGTGATGCTTTTTCCACTGCCTGTTTTTTGATCAATAGGCTGCCCTCACGACTACTGAATATGAAAACTCCACTTGAACTCTTGCTCAATGAACTTTCAGACTACACTTTTCTCAAAGTTTTTGGGTGTGCTTGTTGGCCTCATTTGCGTCCGTATAACAAACATAAGCTAGAGTTTCGATCGAAAAAGTGTGTTTTTCTTGGCTATAGTTCCCTTCACAAAGGGTACAAATGCCTACATGTTCCCACCAATCGCGTTTACATCTCTCGTTTCGTTGTGTTTGATGAGAATGTGTTCCCTTTTCGTGCACTTCCGAACAACTCTATCACTCCTCTACCGGACGTTTCTTATACCACACCTTCGCCTGATCAATTTGTAGATGTTGCATATGCTCCTGCGTTGCTTCCTAATCATGCTGCAGGTGTTGGACGTGGTGCTCGTCTTGAGCTCCTTGAGGAACAGGCACCGCCAGCAGCCCTGGACTTGGACGTCGGTCCTCTGCATGGGGCATGCATACCGGGCGGCGCCCGCCTACCCGCCGGGGCTGCACCCGCAGCCACCACCCGGGCATCGCCCCCGCCCCCCTCGCGGGCTTCCCCCGAGCCAGCCGCTGCCTCAGCGCGGGCTTCTCCCGAGCCGGCCGCTGCCTCGGTGCGGGCCTCCCCCGAGCCGGCCGCCTACTCACCTGGGTCAGGCGCTTCTTCACGGGGGTCGGGTCTGGCTCCAGATGGGCCGGTCTCGCCGGCCCCAACGTCGCCTGGCTCCGGCGTGAGCGCGGGCGCGGGCTCCACGCCGCCTGGCTCTCCAACATCACCAGGCTCTGGTGTGATCTCGGGTGGCTCGGCCTCGCCTCTGTCGCCACCCGAGTCCAGTCCAGTGTTGCCGCCACCTGCTGCTGCTCCTCGAGCCCGCACACGCAGCCAGACAGGCGTGTTTCAGCCAAAGATTCATACTGATGGGACTGTCGCGTGGCTCGCTGCTTGTATGGCTCATGCTGTGGAGGATCCTACTGCTGAGCCTCGTCACTTTCAGGCTGCCCTGAGCATTCCTCACTGGCGTGCTGCGATGGAACAGGAGTTTCAGGCATTGTTGCAGAATGACACATGGCAGCTTGTTCCTCCAGTATCTGGGATCAACATTATTGATTCTAAATGGGTGTTTAAAGTCAAGAGGCATGCTGATGGCTCCATTGAACACTACAAAGCAAGGCTAGTTGCTAAGGATTTCAAACAGAGGTATGGTCTTGATTATGCAGACACATTCAGTCCAGTTATCAAGCCCACTACTATTTGTTTGCTGCTGTCCCTTGCTATTACTCGAGGATGGTTCCTTCGTCAACTTGATGTGCAGAATGCTTTCTTGCATGGAGTTTTGGAGTAGGAGGTTTATATGCGACAGCCGCCAGGGTTTGTGGATCCTGATCATCCTCACCATCTCTGTCGTCTTGTCAAGGCGCTCTATGGGCTCAAACAGGCTCCCCGTGCATGGCATGCACGTCTTGGCTCTGTTCTGCGGGCGCTTGGTTTTATTCCCTCCACTGCTGACACATCACTGTTTCTTCTTCAGCGACCTGAGGTTACGATGTACTTGCTGGTCTATGTTGTTGATATCATCCTCATCAGTTCCTCAGATGCTGCTGCTGATCGTCTTGTGGCTGCTTTGAGTGGTGATTTTGCTGTCAAGGACCTTGGTGCTCTACACTTCTTCCTTGGCCTGGAGGTTTCACGGTCTTCTGCTGGGTTAACTCTTTCTCAGAAGAAGTACGCTCTTGACCTGTTGCGTCATGCTGGTATGTTGAAGTGTAAACCTTCCAGTACTTCGATGTCTGCCACTGATCGGTTGTCTGCTCTTGATGGAGATCCTCTTTCACCTGATGATGCCACTGAGTACCGCAGTCTTGTTGGAGGTCTGCAGTATCTTACTATCACCAGACCAGATGTCTCTTATGCAGTCAACCGTGTTTGTCATTTTCTCCATGCACCCAGGACTTCTCATTGGTCAGCTGTGAAGCGTATCCCGCGTTATGTCTGTCTCACTGCTTCTCATGGTTTGCTCCTCCAACCTGCGCCATCTTCTGAGCTCTCAGCCTTCTCGGATGCAGACTGGGCTGGCAGTCCTGATGACAGGCGATCCACGGGGGGGGGGGTATGCAGTGTTTCTTCGTTCTAACTTGGTTGCTTGGAATGCTCGCAAGCAGGCTACGGTGTCTCGCAGCAGCACGGAAGCTGAGTACAAAGCAGTGGCTAATGCGACGGCTGAGATCATTTGGATTCAGTCCTTGTTGCGTGAGTTGAGGATCTCTTCAGCTCATCCTCCAGTACTTTGGTGTGACAACATTGGTGCTACATATTTGTCGTCTAATCCTGTGTTCCATGCTCGGAGGAAACATATTGAGGTTGACTATCACTTTGTTCGAGAATGAGTTGCACAGAAGCTACTTAGCATCAAGTTCATCTCATCAAAGGATCAACTTGCTGACATCTTCACGAAGCCTCTTCCTCAACCACAGTTTGTAGGCTGTAGGCGCAATCTTAACTTAGTTTGTACTTCAGGTCACAGTTAAAATTGAGGGAGGGTGTTAGACTGTATATGTACGTAGACTTGTGTATATGTAGACTTGTATATTGTACCCTTTGGTACTTATATATAATAAGATAGCCGCACCCCCTTGAGGTGTCAAGCAGTCCACCAAAATATTTGTCTTACACACTTATTAATAGCCGTTGAGCTAGCGTGTCTAGATCCGTGTGCAAGAGAAGTGCTTCTCAGGGGGTGTTTGTTTCCTGTGACTTTTTTGTGTAGGTACTAGAAAAAGTCCCTTTTAGAGACTTTTTTACCAAATGGGAGGGACTTTTAGGGACTAAACTAGGCATTTGGGACTAAATGAAGAAGACTCTCAAGGAGAGTCTTTTTGGGACTTTTTGGGACTTTTCCAACAATGCCCCTCCATGCATCCATTGGCCCGCCACCCCATGGTGTTGTTTGATTATTATTTTTCTATATACTAGGGGTAACATGGTCATTTAATAACCTCTAGGAAGAGACTAGGACTTTTTAGTCTCTGGAAACAAAGAGGGAGGGGCTTTTTAGTTGGGACTAGAAAATGTCCTAGGACTTATGAACCAAACAGGGCCTGAGTACTATTGCAGCGGACAGTAGGGTGATGGAGTAGTAAGCATTTAGTACCTGTTCCTGTGGATCTGCCTGCGATTCTTCTTCCTCCTCCTTCTCGTTGATCGCCTGGGCAGAGCAACTGACACTGGCGGTTGTTGTGCACGCTGCTGATGGAGCAGACATGCCAAAACTGAGGCGAGGGACAGGACCGCTGGGGTGGACGTCGAGGACTGAGCACTTCTCCGCTGCATCAACGTCGACGTCTTTGGCTTCGCGTTGGTCGTCCGGCTGAAAAAAACGCACAAGGAACTCATTTTAGGCAGCATCAAGAAGTGCAATAGATTATCCACGTACGGGTAGAAGTATGTAGTGCCTACCTTTTGGTCTGCCTTGGAGGAATCCGACGCCTGGCCTTCATGGGACTACATACAATACAAGAGAATTATAAGGTAAATGGAAGGAAGAGTGAGGAAAATTCAGAAACTTGAGCACGAGTGCAAAGACATGTGTGGCATGGTATGGTGATCGTCCGATGGAGCACCTGATCTTGCTTCTCCTGCTCCGCATCCGGCTCTTGTCTGACACGGTTTTCATCGTCGTCGTGGAACTGGAATGAAAAGGACCGATCATGCATGAGGCTTTTAAAAGGGAAGCTAGCTAGGTTGAGAGTAAACCAAGAAGTACCTCCTGTTCTGTCTCTTGGGAGCTCGATTCTTTGTTGTCCTCCCGAGCAGACGTACCAACACTAGTAGTATGATGCAGAGGAGGGGAGGCTGGTTCTTTTATCATCTGTATGTATATAAATAAAAGCCAAAACTAGTAGCTGTGAGCCTGTGAGTGAATTGGTAAAAAAAAAAAACTCACACTAAAGCTCGACACAGATAGACACAGAAGCATGCATGTAGTAATTAATACCTGAGAGTCACCACGCCTGTCGAGATCAAGCATGGGATGGTTGGGATGATTGTCGATTGCTTGCCTCACAGCTGCCTCCATCTTCTCCACATCAGCAGCACGTGCACCATGGCAGTCGATATTAGCAGTGACCCACCGGAGGAAGGGAGGTTCACCAGGGTACCAATAAATGAACTACAATCAATGGCGCTTGTGCTGACCGAAATGTATTCAAGGCTCCGCATGCTTCCCGGCAGAAACCAGAAAGGTGCATGTATCCCGCAGTACCTCAACTTGGGGAACGCGCCATCAGGGAACTCAATGTATGGGTCTATCCACAAACTTCCCACGTGACAAAGCTTTGGCAAGCCCCCCAGCTTGACCACATCCGGCTCCTCAAAATGCCACAGATCCATTTTTAGTTTGGAGAGGTTCGGCAACAGCGAGAAATTAATCCACGCCGGAAGCCTACTGAAAGTGCACGACATTGACAGAACACGGAGTTCCCGAGGGGGCCTGTAGCCTGCCCAGTAGGTATCTGCCTCCATTTCAGACCACTCGTAGAGGCCCTCAAGATGTAGGACTTGGATTTTCTTAAGTTTGCATACAGAACCCACCAAAGTTTTCTTAGAACAATCATCCAGACTTCCCCTTAAATGACAGTCCAGCACCCTCAGCTCTGTCAGCTTACCGAGTTCTTCAACGAAGGTAGAAATTTCGCCACTAATTTTCAAAGATAGCTCCTCAAGGGTTATCAGGTTCCCTATCCAATTCGTCACTTCTATACCAAAATGTTCAATTCTATGATTGCGCAAGCGCTTGCTGTCAACACGCAGGCACTTAAGTTGCCTTAGCAAACTAGTACCCTGAGGCAATTCTTGTATCCAGGAGTTCCTCAAGTCTAGTGTCTGCAGAAACTTTAAATCTCCTATATCGATTTTTGTGTTCTCCAGACTCAAGTATCTCAATTGGTGTAACCTTCCAAGATGCTTAAGATGACAGTTTTCCAGAAATATGCAGTTTTTCATGTCTAGAACACGTAACACTTGAAAGCTCAAAAGTGGTGGCATCATACTTTTATGACAGATGCTGGCATAACATGACCTTAATTTTGGCATGCTTGTGTTGGCCAAATGGTTGCCCTGCTCTTCCTCTCTTGTTTGGACAGCCAACCTACGAACATTGCTTTCTGAAGATGAGTATTTCCCATTACCATCCACTATGGTAACAAAATTTTCTTCCTTCGATAACCAACAAATTGTATCAAGTACCATATCATGAACACGGCAAGCATATATGACATTCTTTCCTTTCTTCTCCACAGGCAGGATCAGGCTTCTATTCACCAGAGCACTAAAGTATCCCTCTCCAATCTCAAATAACCCTCTCCCTCGCTCTTCACTGACAAAGCCTTCGGCCACCCACATCCATATCAATGTCTCTTTCATGATCAAAGCGTCCTCTGCAAATATGCTCAGATGCAATAGACAAGGCCTTAGATAACAAGGTAGATCATCATAGCTAAATAGTAATATCCTTCTCATGTCATCAATATCTCTAGTATCTCCATATCCAAAACCAATAGAGGTGTATACCATAGACCAATCCTCCACTCTTTTACCAACCAACAAACTAGCTATTGCAATGATAGCGAGCGGCACACCACCACATTTCTGTAGAATTTTTTTAGATAACTCAGAAGGTAGATCATCAGGGCAGTTCTCTTTACCACCAAATAATCTTTTATAGAATAGTTCTTTAGACAAATCATGAGAAAGTGGTTCTAGCTTGTAGACATCACCCGTGTTTGCTGCTACTTCGTGAATGCGAGTTGTTGTGATTACTCGACTTCCACGATTGTTGTCCAACAAAGCACATTTGATTGTTCCCCATGATTCCAAATCCCATATGTCATCGATAACGATGAAGTACCTATCCACATGACAGAGCAAGAGCCATGTGTTAGTTAGTTCAGAACTATCTAGATTGTCAACTAGAAGAACAAGATGCATGCCAGCCACTTGGATAATGAATATACATGTATATGTGATCGTTCAGTCTACAAAAAAGGTGGAATAAACAAGGAATGAATGCATGAATTTGACTGGTCTCATTTATATCAACAATGGTTCCCATTAATCCCATTTTCAAACAAAATATAGTTTTGCATTGGAAGCTCTTATATTAGATTTATTCCTGAATTCCGTTGAGAATAGTTGGTGGTTGCTCACAACCTAATGATAGAAAAAAGGGCAGGAAAACAAGAAAAAAAAATCCTTTCTTCTTAAAAAATACATCATGATTGAATAGGTTGTCCAAATTAAAATTCAAAACATCTCAATTGAAATTAACCGCAGCTTTCTAATATCTTGCTTCATCAGATTCAGTCTAATTATGACGTTGAGATGCAACCAACTAGCTAATAAAACTTAAAGTCTATATTAGTAGACTACAAATTGTTGGTATTAGATATGTATTTGTCACCAGTTCCATGCAGATGGCATCCATCATAACATGTAGACCCGCATTGTGTCTATACATCTAGCGCCTTAAGTCCAACATATCCTCTATTCACAGGATTATACTCCCTCCATTCCTAAATATAAGTCTTTTTAGAGATTTCATTCTGGACTACTCCCTCCGTGCGCGAATAACTGTACATCTAGATTTTGTTCTAAGTCAAAGTTTTAAAACTTTGACCAATTTTATAGGAAAAAGTGACAACAATTATGACACTAAATTGATATAACTAGATTCGTTTTGAAATGTTGTTTCATAATGTGCCAATTCGATGTTATATGTGCTGCTACTCTTTTATATAAAATTGGTCAAAACTTTAAAACTTTGACTTAGGACAAAAGCTAGATGTACACTTATTCACGGACAGAGTGAGTACATACAGATGTATATAGACATATTTTAGAGTGTAGATTCACTCATTTTGCTATGTATGTAGTCCATAGCGGAATCTCTAAAAAGACTTATATTTAGGAACAGGGGGAGTATATATGTAAATTGAGACAAATGTGGCATTAATTGTTTTAATAACTATATAAACATGATTGAGGTGGACACCCTTCGAACCTGACATTCTGAAGTTGTTCTCGGAGTTTTTCGACAAGTTGTCTTTCATCCAGTGTGGCTACATCGCTGGTACGCACGCGCAGTTCCAAGAGGATGTCCTTGAGAACTTTGCTCACTTCAGGATTTCGACCCACCGGAACAAAAGCTTTGTGAACATATTGCGTTTGAAGACTGTCGTACACTGCCCTGGCAAGAGTTGTCTTGCCGAGTCCTCCAGGTCCGACAATAGAGACTATCTTGAGCTGCTGATTTGACACATTCCCATCACCAAGTGCCAGCCTCTTGGTTAGCTCAATCCGAGCGGCTTCAATGCCAACGAGCTCTTGCTGATCCTTGTACAAAGCCAGCATACGAGGGTCAACCTTGGATTTGTTAGCTGGATTGACAACAACACCGCCGACTTGGCATCTGGCACGCCGGGCAGCCACCTCTTCGGCAAGTTTCTTGAGAGCCTTAATGTCATTGGCGATCTGATGGCGGCCGCTGGCTTTGGTGAAATAGCCGGTCATCATCTCCATTAGGCATTTGAGCTTGTTCGAGTTGGCTGCTGGATCAGATCCCTCGACGTACAGCAGAAAGTTGTCAACGACATCCTCCATGTCGTACGACAGCTCCCTCAGTTCATCTGCCCAGATCTTGACCTGCCGATTAAGGCTGTCCCTTGGCACCTCCGCCACCTCTGTAAGGGCAGTGTGCATGCTCTCCATCTCTTTCTTAAGGGACTCAACGTCTTCCTTGACGCCCTTCTGTAGCTTGTACTCACCCGCGACCAGCTCGACCAGCTTGGGAAGTAGTCTTCCCATGACACCGGTTACCACCTCCATCACCATGGTTGGCTCTCAAATCTCAATGTATGGATCCTCTAGGAAGAAAACCTGGTTGGAAGTTACAAGACAGGAATCCGATGTAGGAAAACCAAAAGAAACTGTTCTCTCCACCGGCCACCACCTTTAATTTTGCGCAATGCATGAAAGCAAATAAGTACGTGGCTGCTTAATTACCTGTATACAACCAAGCAGAGCATAGCTGCGCAAGGCACCCTCGCCGTCAGATCCAACACCAAGGAGCTCCCAGAAAAGATCCCCAAGCTGCACCGGCAGGCTCTTCACTTCAGGCAGCGACCGCCTCCAAAATCCAAATGCTAGCTAGGTCTGCGCGCCGCCCCTGCGGGCGTGCTTGCTGGGAGCGGGACGAGACGAGCAAGCGTGGGACGGCTACACAGGCGCCATGGTTGGTGGGTTTTGGTGGAGCAAGAGCAATGGTGGTGAGTGGTGACGGGTGAGAATGAGATGGAGGTGCCCCTAACTCGTTCTTGAGATCTGGCCGCTTTGATGAATGATGAGGTTGCACTGTGGGACGGGTCACTCCTGACTCCTGAGACAGTGCATGCATGCATTATTGGTCGGAAACTGCCTGGAAGCACGCCGCTCCCACAGGCGAAAACCCTGTGTTTGTTTTCTGAACCACGCTGTAGACGGGAGGTGCTCCGTCTTCTCAGCCACATCTTTTTACCCTGATATTTCCCCCTCCTCTTGCCCTCTCTTTCACTTCCATGCACACTGTATACGCGCATAATCCTATCTCTCATACATTATTGCTCGCCTTTATCTCAGCAAGCACGCCAGAAGCGGCAGCGAGCACGGACCCAGCTTCTGGAGGTGTCTCTCAAGTGCACCCCATGAGGATGAGGATGAGGATGAGATTGGACTGAATGCGTTTCCCCCACTGTGGGTTTCGTGTGAAACTAGGTCCCACTCCCACCGGTAAAATTTAGAACCAAACTTCCGGATTTTAGAACCAAACTTTTCAAGTTTAGCAGGGCTCCATGCCTCCATGAGACTTTGATCTCAATGCATTATGCCATGGGACATTGGTCTGCTCTGGACAGACTGGACTCTGGAATTCGTGCTACTACGTACACAACGAGCATCATTTCTTTGGGCGTAGTCAACTGTCGAGCGGACAAGCATCGTTTTTTCGCACTGTTTTTGTCGTGATTTTTGAACTGTTTAATGAAAAATAATATACCGTTACATATCAATTGAATAGGATAAACTGTTTCATGTTTGGTCGTTTTTCCAAAATCATTACGGCTTATAAACAAAATTCAAGAAACAAAAAATTCATCAAATGTTTTTATGAAAGAAAAAAAATCAAACCATATAATATGCCGTTGGAAAGCTATCGATTAACCCAAACATTTTCATATACAACAGTTTTCCAAATTTGCTACGGTTTTTAAGAGCAGTTTTCAGAAAAAAAAAACTAACACAATTTTCGACCTTTTTTACCCTAACTGCTAGTACACTCCACCGGAATAGATACCTGGTCTTTGTTGACAAGCTTTATGCTGAGAGTGAAGAAACTATTTTTTTTCTTCTTTTTTTCCATAGTCAAGCTAACTGTCAGGAATGAAAAATTGTTGACTGACAGATATTGCGGCAGTTTAGCAGTAAACTACCGGGACTGAAGATATTAAAATTTTCTTTAATTGTTTTTTCCCAGGTCACACTAACTGTCAGGACTAAAGAATTAGTGGCCTTGGTATTACCCTTTAAGAAAAAAGAAAATGAAATAAAAAACAAAATGAGATTTTCTAAGCAAGAATGAATTGGTGGCATTGGTATTGTCCTTTAAGAAGAAAGAAAATGGAAAAACAATCTAAAACAAACAATGAAACATTCACACAATTTACACAAAATGGCTTTTTTTTAATAATATGCAAGAATAAGCATATAATAGTTTAATTTTCTAAAAAAAATTCCTAAAAGTTGATGCATTAGTCGCATTGGTATTACCCTTGAAAAGAAACAAAATGAAATAAAAACCAAAACATAATCAAAAGAATGATGTTTCCTAAAAATGAATGAATTATGGTATTGCCCTTATAATGACATTGGCATTACCCTTTAAGAAAAGAAGAAAATAAGAAGAAGAGGAAGAAGAATGGCAAAACAGTTCTGGTTATTAAAGTGGGTTATCCAAAACATTTTAACTTTACGCATGTATGAAAATCTGGTTAACTGAATTAAACTGAAAACAATTTCGAAAAGGCAAAGCAATAAGATGATTAAACATGGTTTCCATGCTGGTTTTCCAGAGACCTCAATCCACCTTATTTAGCCCAACTAATTTCCGATATATATCCAACTATGACATGGTGATGATCTTATTTCACTACAAATTTGACACGTAACCACAGTGTAGACAGGGAAAACAAAAGGATAATCAGGAACCAGCACACATGCATCGAATAATTTCTGTACTGGAGCCTGCTTTGTTGAAGTTTAACCGCATAACTGTTTGCGCAATTGTACAACCCCACGCTTATTCACAGTAGTTATATTTTCAGTCATTGCCCTACAAAGGAACAAACATCAAATTTCAAGCTCAATTGGATGTATAAAAGGGGACCGCGTTAAAAAGAAACTCACCGTTATGTTTCCCATCTCTAAACTGCGCATTCTTCGATGACTTGAAGGTCCCCAAGAATTCTATACCCTTCTGCAGTTCAAGTTTCCGCCTTGCCTTGTCCCACTTGTGCTCCAAAGCTAAGATCTCAATGATCCGGGGTAATGCTCTCCCTGCAGCATCTGTGTCAAGGAAGGCAAGCCGGCATCTCCTTGCAACAAAGTCAACTGCAGACTCGCAGTACTCGTGGCGAGCACAATATGCTACTTCAGCTTCTAAGAATGGGTATCCGTGAGCAAGTCGCTTTCCCAAGCCTTCATTCTGGAAAATGAATCCATTAACAGATAATGAGGATTTGGTGCAGTAACCACAGATTTATAGTAGAATAAAACAAGCCTGGGTTGCAGTTGCATTATGATGAATTATGTATACAATCGTATGCTGGGCTGTATAAGAGCATGAATGCACACTAGCTGATTCAGCATAGTTACATTGCATAGTTGAACACTGCAATTACATACATTCATGCTGAACAGTTGACATCCATTGAGGCTAGCTACGCAATCCCAGATAGTTAAAAGTCAGCACAAGAAATGTACACATGGGCAGCTCATATGAAAGAGAACTGAGTGTAGTATGTACAAATCAAATAATAAAGTTCTATAAAACAAGAGGAAATGGCTTTGGAAATGCAAGAGATGCACTGATACAAACAAATCAAATAGCATCAACAATTATAGGTTACCAGTACAATTTCAATGGAAATATTGAACTAGTTCAGAAATTTAGAGTCGAAACAGAAATTTATTTGCCATCATTAAATTTCAGAGAATCCTGAACATTCAAATTTAGGCATCGTCAACTATGATGCATACACTGTTTATTTAAGGGAAAGACTAAGTGCATTTTCCAAAGAACACATAAGCAAATCAACTATTTTAACATCACATTGTCATCCTATTGCTGTCCACAGAAGAAAAAAGTGGAGAAGCAGCGGAAGATACAGCTCATTCATTGTGTGCAAAGAATTGCATGGTGCTCATGGAACCAACAAGTTGGAGAGCATCAAGTGTGTGTCATTCATTGAAACGGTTTGTCATCTACGACACTGTGGGAGCATGGGTCTTTAAATTTCTGGTGATTAAAAAACAAAAACTGAGACAAAATGTCTCCTTCATGTCTTCCTTCAGCATTCATTACTTACTGAACTGGGCCTCATGTCAGTGCCACATCATACCAGATTGATCCCAACTACAAGACGTTAGCCAGTTCATAAGTTGAGACCTCACGATGCGTCCAATGAACATTCGACTTTGTCAATTTTTAATGTGGTAATGATGTGCAGATATCTCATGCATCTGCGTGATACAATGGTCAACATAGGAACACACCAAACAGATGGCCATATTGTGCATGATTATATTGCGTTTCTGTTCCTGAATATTCTAATTTGATGTAAATAAATACTTCCCAGTAGGTGCTCATCTTTGAGGCTTGAATTAGAAAAGGCAAAATATAACTTTTTTCCTACTTGCAAACATAGCTTGCGTATGTAAGTTGCTATAGTTGAGGGACACAAACCTGGGCAATTGCAGCCACTCTTTCAGCCAAAGTTCCATATGCATGTGACAGATGTTTCGATACAGCACTGTCCATTGCACCTGGAATAACTTTTCCACCATATGTCTTCTTCATTCGCTTATAATTCTGAGCAAGCACAGTAAAAGATGCAGGATCCCATCCATATCCACCAATTATATGCAAATGATCAGTCACGCAGCCATTTGCTGGCTTCAAATTCCCTGACTTTATTGCTGCATTAAGAGCATCTTCAGCCATGCTGAATAAACAAGCTCATTAGCATACAGCAGCGTAACCTAAACATATGCTGCACATGCTAAACATATGCTGCACCCATATAGCCTACCATCCCATGCTAGTATTAGCAGGCAGCCTATGCATTAAGCCCCGACTAAAAATACATGAAGTACTAACGCAATAAATGACGGTCCAGTTAATTTCCCACAATAATCATTAAAACAATGTACTACTCCCTCCGTTCCTAAATATTTGTCTTTCTAGATATTTCAACAAGTGACTACATACGAAGCAAAATGAGTGAATCTACACTTTAAGATATGTCTACATACATCCGTATGTGGTAGTCATTTGAAACGTCTAGAAAGACAAATATTTAGGAACGGAGGGAGTACATACATAATCATCATGGTATGTATTGGGGATAAACAACTATCAAGATATGAATGATAGTAAATCAGGCAAAAACTTGAGTGAGCGAAACCAGCTTAATTTATCATGTGTGCACAGAGCAAAATTAGCTACTGTGGAATCCTTTACCTTCTATACGTTGTCCATTTTCCACCTGTGATTGTTATTAACCCTGGGTAGTCTTCAAATA